ATCAGGAAATCTGATTTATGCTTCAATCTTGTAATGTGTTTCCTACTTTCTTGGACAATTTCCTCAAAGATGAGGAAGAGATTTGCGGCAACAGAGATGTAGTCCTACAGTAGGATACTGAGAATACTATGGACGGAACATGTGAGCAACAAAGAAATTAAAAAAAAAAAGAGACTCAGAAAGAGACCATTGAATTTTCTGGGACATCTAATGAGGAAAGAAGACTTGGAGAATTTGACACTCACAGGACATATTGGAGACAGAGAGAGACAAGTAACTTACCTAATGAGTTGGTGTGAATGGATGAGCAAGGACAAAGAAAGATGGTAAAATTTCAATAGTTGCTTAGACTTTTTTTTTAAAAAATCATATCACCCCATGCAAGGCATTAAAGCCTCTAAGACAGAAGGCAGTACAGGGTGTGGAAGAAAAAGAAGAAAAAAAAGAAAAAAGAAGAAATATTAGGAAGCAAGAAGAATAGAAGAGTAATCATGGCAGTAGATAATGACAGATTTTGCATTAAATTTTTTTTCCAAAAGCATTGGAACTGGAAGAGAGTTCCACAAGCAAGAAGTGTGAGAAAAGAAACTGTTAGCATAGAACTTAGTTACATCTAACCAATTCAACTGATTTGATGAGACTTTGCCACCAATCTTATATTGTGCTTAAGTTCATAAAGTCTAGGGACCATAGTGAAGAGTTCATCGGAACAATTACCATGAAAGATATAAAAAAAGAAAAGCTACATTATGGTGGTAGGAAAGGGAATAAAGCTGAGATGCCAGGTCAGGACCAATAATATTACTGACCCTTTGGATTTCATCAAAAATCTCCAAATATACAGCGGGAACACTGGGCCAGATGTGGCAGCAATATTCAAAGCATGGACGAATGGTAGACTTATAAATATGCAAGATAGATTTTGGAGACAAAAATTGTCTAGCACGACAAATTGAATTGTCTTTTTTAGCTGTAGACTTAGCAATGGATTCGACATAATTTTTCCGCTTCATATTAGCCAAGAAATTTAGTCTAAGAAGATGCAACGAGTCACTCTCATAGAGTTTAGCATCAGCAATGCTGATGGGAAGTACAAAAGGGTCTTTCGAGTGATTAAGTTTCTTTTTGGAGGCATTAAAATTAACAAGCCATTCATTGCCCCAGTTAACAACAAACTGTAGGTCATTTTTTAAATCTGCTGCCAATTTAACCTATCAAACTGATCAGATTTATTATTGAGACAGGAGTAAAAGGTTCTGCCACTAACATAAATACCGAATTGAGACTGATGTCATCAGGAAGGTCAATGAGGAAAATTAAATTCAAAGTAGGCCCAAGGATAGAGCCCTGCTTTAGTCCCAAAAGATCTACAAGTTACAAAGGATAGGAAATTGTTGGGAGTGATGAAACCGACATCCTGAAAAGATACTGTACATAAAAGAGGAAGAAGCTTATGTATTCCATAAAATTATGAGTCAATATTTATAGTATTTTCTTGTTACAATGGCTACAATTTGTGTATGAATAAGCTCAAATTTATCACTATACATTTAATTTTATTGTTTGGTTGGAAGAAAGAATTCAGATTTTTAAATCATTCAAATAAAACCTGTCGTATTTCTTCACACACATTGTTCTGAATTTAATATTTCCAAGTGTAAAAGGGACACAACTCTTTGTCTGAATTTTATTCAGATATTTTAATCATTGTTTATGATTATTCTTGGTCTTGTTGCATAGAGCATTGGACTGTAAAAACATGGTTTGAGGTAAGGTAATATAGTGGAGTTATAATCTCCATGCCAAATCGGTTTGAACTCACTTGTTCTATTTCTAGACTGACTGCAAAACATGCAAGGCAAACTAGGTTCTCTCTTTCACTGCTAAAGAAGAGTAGAAGAAATGGATGCATGCTTTTTCCTAAGGGTCATTGGTGCAAAGTAAACCTGTTTTTGTTGGTATCTGAAGATTGATTACAGGATTTCATTTTCTGCATTGATAACCCTTAAACTACCCACACATTCTATGTTCATCAAATAAACTAATTTTTCCATCTTTCTTCACAATGTTTCTACTGTGGACCCATCACATTCATCAGGCATCTGTTATGTTCTATAACATTGTCAAGACTTATTTTGAGAAGCATACACATCCATTTATCTACACATCACGTTTTAAAATACAGCAGTCACCTGAGGAAAGCTGGAGAGTAGAAAGTCAAAATATGAAGAAAAAAAAAAAAAGAAAACAAAAATAACACTCACAATCAATCATGTAAAAGGATTACAAACCATTGACACCTAATAATCTATTTTTCCGGTCAGATATTTGCATACCGACTAAAGAAAAAATAATTCAGTTGAATTAATTAAGGGTGTGTCTTAGAAGTGAATTTGTTTTGAACACAAGAAAATGAAGACAAGACAAATAATGTTCTGATTGAAGCAATTAAAATCAAAGACAGGACAAAATTAATTGTAAAGATTTTTATCTTGTAATCAAATGCTCAAAATTGGCAAAATGAAAGCTATAATGAACAGCAATTGCAAAATGAAAGAAGCAAAAAAGAAAAAAATCCCAAAGCCAAAGAAAGATAATTGGCACAAAGCAATTGCTCAAAAATGCTTTTTATAAGGAAATGAGGTTTCATTATTGTTGAATAGGTAGCCATTTTTAAGTAGAATTGACAAAATTCCCAATAACAGCAATAATGAAAAAAAGAAGGGGATGAAATAATACAAGAAATAATCTTAATGTAATACAAGGCAAAGCAACTATAAGACTCAGGTGTCTCTTAAGAAATGGTGAAAACAATAAGAGCAGTGAAAAAGTCCCTATTGCAAATCCCGTCTCACAAATACAAAAGGCAAAAAATAGCCGAGTCAAAAATCAAAAGTCCAATGTCAACATTCCAAAAGGCAAAATAAAAAAATAAATATAAAAAAAATCCAACTTACAGATCTTAACACAGTAAATTCACTCTCACTCACAAATGGAGAGAGAAAAAAAAAAGTCAACTCCCATCAAGAAAAGCAATGGCTATTAATTGAGGGGATAAATTTTCCGATTGGTCATGATAGTTAGGGAGGATAAAAAAAAAAAACATACGTGAGGGTATGCTTAAGGAAATAATTAACTAAGATTTATTTTTTTTATTTTTTCCAGTAAACAATTCACAGAACGCAAACTCCTTTTTTTGAGGTAAGTGATTTTACCCTGTTCACCAGAAGACAATATCAAATTAAAATTAACCAAAATAGAAACTGTGTTCATATGCAAAAGGGATACAGACAAGTGATTATAAGCGTTTTGACTTCAAGGCAAGAAAGAAAAAATATGTGGGTAAGACCCAGAATTGTTCATATTTATTGACTAAAAAAAAAATCCCAGCATGCATCTGCATTGCTCTATAAATTTAGGAAGTGGAGACTTCTAGTAGACATTCTCAGAGATTGGCACCAACAATTATAACACAGGTTTGATCCCTGCTGGGGAATGCATTTTCTTTACTAAGATTTCTCAAATGCGCAAGACAATCATGAGACACTACATACTGCTTAATAAATAAAAATGGGGGGGGGTCGTCTATTTCAAATATGAAGAATCCACCATAATAACATTTGAATAAAAAATAACAATAAATGAACAAATTTTATTTTTATGCTCTTTGCTTAAGAGAATTTTATCTTGTGCTTGTATTCAAGGCCTCTATTGAACTGTAAACTATGTCATCTCCAGTCTGGTGCTGTAACCATGTAGCTAACATCTGAGACAACTTATCTCTTAACTACATCTTTTTACTAATACTCAATTAACAAGTGACTATTGAAATCAATTATTTTTTTCTTTGTTCTCTTTAGAAAGAGAAAAATTCTATTTTAAGTTTTCCTTGTTATCTGCATTTGAGGAAAAGAAAAAAAGCTAGTAACTGTCATAGAAATATTTATTAAAGCCTAAAATTTCTTCTTTTCTAAACGTGACGGACTAAATTACTCTTGTGTGAGAAACTCAACGAAAGAAGCGTAATACTTTCCACGAGGCTTAATTAACATCAAGTATAACTCCTATTTAGGATCTGTTGGCAAGTAGCAGGTCTGAAGTCTCTCTGAGCATTTTCACCTCTATTTCTAAGGTGTTAAACGAAGCAGAATACCTGTACGCATTGCAGAAGCCTGAACACAAGACAAGCAAAAGGTAAATTTGGACTCAATCGATTAAAGCCAACCTTCAAGTATGAAGCGCCAAAGGAAGTAAGTTGGTTATGTTAATGGAACTTCTGGAACTGAGATAGTGTGGATGGGAAAGCAAAATTTTGGTGTGAATCACACAATTGAGAAAGAAGAAGGTGTAACCTGTAAGCAGAGTGTAAATTTCTGCCATTGAAGACGTTTATTTCCTTTCAGTTCAGAGCATTTAACAGTTCCATGATCAGATTGTTAAATCCCTTAGAGGATTGAATAATTACAAGGGCAAGCTGAAAAGTACATAGCCTGACCAATTTACTAAATTTAATTAAATATTTGTTAAGCAAGGCGATAATGCCACTAAGATGCTAAGAGTTACTGTGAGTGAAAAAGAAAAGATAATAAAATAGGATTCAGGACGACAGAAGATAGAGATTGACACTGCATTTAAATTTTTTCAAGATTATAGGTCACAGGAAAGCAAAAATCAAAAGAAAGTTTCCAAAGAACTTGCAGTTCCATTTATTTTAACAGTAAAATGATGAGACCTAGTTGCCAATCTAGTACTGCACTTAAATTCATGCAATCGAGGTACCAAGAAGGAGAGTTCATTAAAACAATGGCCATGAAAATATTTATAGAAAAGGCAGAGGGAAGCCATGTCACACTTTTTTTTTTTTATTTTGTTTTTTTTTTTAAAAAGGGGTTCTTGGTTGAGCTAAGAACTTTTATGCACCCCCGGTTTCTGATCCCAATTTCAATGCAGAGTTAGATTTAGGTTACAATAAACAAACTGGTTTTCAAATAAATGAAGCTTATGGCCACATCCAGTTGAAACACTGGTTCCTGTATGATCAATGAAGCTAAGCAACATCAAGCTTGGTCAGTACCCAGACGGGTGACTACTTGGGAATACCAGATGCTGTAAGCTTAGATGTGTGAGTGGTGTAATGGATAATGGTTCAGAATTGTTAATTGGAGAGCAAAGTTCCAATTCCCATTGGGTTTGTTATATTCACTTAAGCATAAATACCCTTGGTAAAGGTAAGAATCCATCTCTTCTCATCCCAGCTATGGGTTAATTAGTAAGACAACTTGCATCACTAAACCAATATTATCTCAAATAAAGAAAAAAATTCCTATAATCAAAAAAAAAAAAATTCTGGCTTTAAATTGCCTACAAAGAGTTGATAAGCCATGAAAAATGAATCAATCAAAATCTTCAGTATGTAGGACATACGTATGTTTCTTGCTGACAACAATGTATTCTGTCTTCTTAAAGTTAAAAATTGTTTTGTTTTTTTTGCTTTCTGATTCTTCCATCAACATCGTCATTCATTTATATGAAGACAATTTCTGCCAATAATAAATTTAGGTCTGTCTTACAATCATCTTGCTTTATAGTTTTAATTAATCCAGTGAGAAAATCCATCATTGTCTCACACACCTTCCTATTCTTGTGTTGTCACATGCAGGCGATGGAATATTTTAATGTTTTCCATAAGTTTTATTTGCAGTTCAAATCAGTTGTGTTGGAACTTACCAAATGGTTTTGCATAATATATGAAATTTAGAAATATGTATTTCTGTATTTGCATTACTCAATCTGGCAGCATTCTGATCATAAAAATAGCATTTCTTGTTCCAGTGTCTTGAACAGAGTCATATTGCTCTTGCTTGATTTCTGGACTAATGTTACTACAAGCTTTATTCAGCAGAATAGTGATCATTTTAGTAATTTTACTCAAACAACAAAATGTTCAATGGAATTTGCATTCATCTGCACCTGGCTTCTTAGGAATTACTATGACAAATCTACAAGTATTCCATTGCTATTATTGTTGCCACATCTGGTCTGGTCCATCTGTTTTATTTATATATATATATATATGAGAGAGAGAGAAATTGAGATTCTTAACAAAATCCAAAGAAGAATCTGCAATGTTATAGGTGTCAACTTGGCATCTTAGCTTCAATCACATTCCCATCATCATAATGTGGGTTCCCTGTGCCTTTTCTAAAAATATTTTTATGGAAACTGCTTTTCTCTTTAATACCTCAATTTCATGAATTTAAGCAGAGTACTAGATTGGTAGCTAGGTCACATAATTTCATTAGTGAAATTACCAATTGTAACCGTATGTTCTATGTAAATATTTTCTTCTTTCGCCCGTAGAGCTCTCTTCCAACTTATTGATTTTCTGTCAACTTTGATCTTCAAACATTTAAATACAGCATCAATCATCATCTTCTGTCTCCTTGAATCCTCTTCTTTTTGTCCTTTTTCTCAGTTTTTGTCACCTCTTGAGTTTTAGTGGCTTTATCACCTTGCTTGGGATGAAATGATTAACAAAAAAAAAATTATCATTTAGATCAACTTATCAATCCTGAAATCATCAACCATCTCTATTAAAATCCCATCTGGTCTTTCTGTTGTGTATCTGTTAATCTTGGTCGGTGCTGATTTTAATATTACACGTCTTTCTCTCCCTGTTTTTATGTATTGTAGTTTTCTCTCCTGTCAGGTTCACTAAGTCACTAAACAGTTGCACCAGAACTCATGGAAAAATTTTCCAAAGGATTCGTTCTATCTTTATAATATATTTTTTTTTTTTGATTGAGATTTTATCCCTGATATTTGTTTATTTACAACAATTACAACCCACATGGGAGAAGGAATGGCTTGAAAAATTCAATATGGCTGAAATCAAACTAGTAAGCTTCCACCATCAACAAACAGGCTGTGAAGTTTCACTTATCATGGGTATTTTATCATGAAGGCTCCTTGCCTTAAACGTCTATTGCGACTCAAGCTCTCCCCAGACTTCAAGTGGAACATATATACAATCTATTCCTAAAGATGCTGGAAACATGGTCAGTTCTACGTACCACTCTAGTAAGTATCCGACTCCCCATGCTATAATACTCTATCTTAACAATAATCAGATCAGAGGAAACATTGGAGTATTTCTGCCATCATAGTTAGGCTGATGCTCTCCAGTCTTCCCTTGTCTGCCTTGACTCAGTTTAAAAGCGTATATGCAACCTCATTTCCTATCCTATACTCCAAGGTCTGGAGCCCCTTCTGTTTGCCTATGTGTTCTTGATAGTCTCCAGAGGTGGATATTGTTGTGGAGTATTTTCACAGTGGAGGCTTGTATTTCTAATAAGTCGTCCTAAATTAGGTCCGACGTACAAAACGTTAGGAACTTGGAAAATAAGAGTCAATGGCGCAGCAATCTAGTTGTGATGGTTGGTACTTCAAATGTCCGAATCTCGACTGATGCGCTCAACACCATTCTGCCAGACTTGCCACTGCTACTCCTACTTATTATCTATGGGAGAGTCCATTACAATAGAATAGGTACTATGGCATAACAGATATGCAATATAATTGGCCCTGCTCTGTCATCTCGTCTACAGTCACTTTCTCACAGACACGCTGTCACCTCTCTCTGTCTGTTTTACAAATACTTTCATGGCTATTGCTCCGAGGAGCTGCATTCGCTGGTTCCCAGATGTCATGAGTTCAAGCGCTCTACGAGGCTGGCATCCCGCTCTCACCCTTTCACTATTGAAACTCCTAAATGTAGCTGTCTCTTCTACTCCAATAGCTTCATGTCTCACACCTCTCACCTGTGGAACTCCCTTTCCTATTCCAGTCTACCTGAGAGCTATAATCTCCAGCTATTCAAATGTAATGTCAATCGACATCTCCAGTTGCTTTGATCTATCCACTACCCTCATCCTTTCCTCTATCACTCCTATCTGATATTGCTCCAAATTTTCTGTAACCCTTTGCATCCTAGTGGCTTCTCCCCTTGCTTGGGGTGAAACACTTAAAAAAATAAAAATAAAAAATAATCATTGGCAAACTGCAGCTCGTTTAGTCTTTCTGAATGACACACTTAATTTCATAAGTAAAATAACATTTCTTAAAACATTGTTTTGTTTCATTCTCACTTGTTCACCCTCTTATACATAACCATGTACATAATGATTACGTACAATGTTTCTTGATTTTTGTAAAATTCCAGGGAAAGTAATGTTGTCAACATTTTAAACCATTGGCTATTTTCACTAAGGAAGATCATTTGTGTAAACATTGTTTGGTTTTGAAACAGGAAACATTCAAAAGAATTTTTTTCTCTAAAGAAGAAATGTTTTCATTTTAAAATGAATAAATTTGAAATAAATCCCAGGTAATGACATGTGTTAATCAAACTGTTATCAGTGTTAATATTAGACCATGACTTCAAATTTTAATTATGAAATTTTTTTTCTCTAAATACAAAAAAAAAAAAAAAAAAAAAAAAACCAACTTTCCCCTCATTTCTAAGGAATATACTTATGCATATGGTCTTCTGTATTGAAAATAGTTGAGATACCTATTATGAAAAAATACCTTGAATCTTTAATAGTGCAGCTCGCCTTCTGATGAGCCATACATGCAACCCACTGCTTGAAAAAGGTTGTCCATGCTTGGTATATTAAATGAAAAATGTGTACTATGTTTAAATTCATGTGGTTAGGGTCCCAAGGAGGAAAGTTCATTAGAACAGTTGGCATGAAAATATTTATTTTCACTAAGGAAGATTATATGCGTAAATACCTTTTGCTTTTGAAATAGAAAACATTCATAATAATTTTTCTCTAAAGAAGAAATGTTTTCATTTTCAAATGAATAAATTAGAAATAAATCCCAGGCATCGACATGTGTTAAACTGTCATCAGGGATAACATTAGAACAAAACAGCAATTAATTATAAAAAAAAAACTTTCCTACCATTTCTAAGGTATATGCTTATACATATGGTCTTCTGTAGTGAAAGTAGCTGACATAACTATTATGAAAAATTACCTTGAAACTTTTTATTGGTGAGCCATAAATCATGTGGCCCACTGCTTGAAAACAGTTGCTCATGCCTGCTATACATCCTTACTCAGACAAAACATTGCAAGACTCTTGCTGTCCTATCGCATGAGTTCTGATAAGCTACATTCCTTAGTCTCACCATCCCAGACCTTTAAAGACTGGGACCCACCAAGTCATATACACAAGGATGAATCATCCTCATTCCCTTTTGTATTCTGGTAGTAAGGAGGAAGTTCTAAATAGGCAGCTTCTTCTGATGAACTGCTGCTTTCTGGAACAAACTCCTAGCAGGATGTTTTCCCAGACACTACAATCTTAACCTTTTCATGTTCTATGGTTAACTGTTATCTTTCTTGTAGAAACCATAAACTTTAATTCTTGCCTTTTCTTACACTTATACAACATAACTTTATGTAGGTAGATCCTTATTTTCCATACATACAATTATTATTATTTCATGGGTGATAGAAGAGGGGACAACTTATAAGATAAAATTAATATAGTGTAAAGATGGGAAAACAGAAATTAAAATGTTAAACATTCAACATTTGAAGAGTTAGAGAAACATAAAAGCTAATAAAGTAAAACCTATATTATGGAACCTATATGAATAAATGCAAAATTGGAGCGCAATTATCCAACAATTTCTGGGGTTAAAAAGCCCCAATTCCATTTTATAGTAATTTATATGGTGTTTACTTGTTTCCCCACAAGGACGAGATGTGACACAAGGTCTTTTTAACCTGAGCGCGTACACCCGGGCAAGGGACAAAAATTGCCCACAACCCCTGAAGTTGCCCCTCTGTCCTTTGACAGAGAAGCTCCTGAGTGCACTCTGTCCAAGGACAGAAACGCAACCGAGAGATGATAAATAATGCATACAAATTACTTTATAGTAATTTATATGCAGTGTTTACTCATTCCCCCATGAGAATGAGATGTGTCTTTTTAATGTGGGGACCTGAGCATATACACCCGGGCGGGGACAAAAATTCCCCACAGCCCATCGGTTGCACTGGTGTCGGTGCGAGCATCAATCCCTCCCTCTTGTGC